GTTAAAGTCTCAGCACTATCAAGCTGCTGCTCACCACTGCAACATGAGTTCAACCCCTGGCCAGGGAACTCGCCCAACAGATCTCTCTTTTCTCCCCACTACTCCCCTTAGCAGTGTATTTCAGTACACCTGCCTGTTCTGCATGAATCCTCTCATCCTGCCCCCCCTCTGGCCTATACTCCAGCTCTTACATGCATAAATAAGTAAATCTTGAAAAACAAAAAGAGCAGTCAAAAGGTGGAGATCTGGATCACACTGCTAGGGCTTAGATCCCAGCTCTGCTGCTTTAAAAAAAACAGATATATAAAAATAAAATGAATCCTTTTTTAAAGATTTATTTACTTATGCATACAGGAATGGGGTACAGCCAGAGGTGCAGGGGCGGTGAGAGGATTCCCCAGAAACAAAGTGCGGAGCAGAACAGGCAGATGGACAGGATAGGTCTGCTGCACCATGTGGATCACCTCCAGGGTGGAGATTGAACTCGCACTGAAATAGCCATGGCTTGGCTTAGCTTGTAGTGCAGAGCGCCAACCCACTGCGCCACTAGGGAGGGCCGAAATAAAATAAATCTTAAAATAAACCAAATAAATAACATTTAAAATATGGATCGGTACGTGGACCTTTTTTGCCATTAAAGTGTACTAATGTACCTGGTTTCTACGACACTATTACTGATTTTCCTCCCATTTCTCAACCTCTTCCTGCTCTATCTGAATTTTGGGGTTTTTGGGGGGGATGTTTAGTTTATTTTTGGATTTTCTTGTTTACTGTCTATTTCCCATGAAAGCAACAACACTGACTTATAAATTGCACCTCCTACAGGTTTAGCATCATCCCTGGCACATATTGAGAGTAAAATATTTACTGAATAAATAAATGTCAGTCTAGATCCTGTATTGTCTGCTCCAGACCTGCATTCCAGGTCCCACTCCCAGCTGTCAACTGGACATGTACAGCTACGCCCAGCTTTATACACAAGTTTCTTAATGATAGTAATAATAAAAGTAAACTCTTCTGCAACACACTGTATCTTTGTGTGGCCCACACATCTAGTCATTTGTTTAATAATCATCCTTACCCTCTGTGATCTCATTTTGCAAAGGAAGACACTAAAGCACCAGGAGGTCATGTGACTTGCCCAAAGTCAAACTGCTCAGTGACTGGACCAAGAAGAGAATGGGACCGTCCTTGGTGTCACAACTGATTAAAGCACAGCACTAGGAAGCTAACCACAGCCCAGTCCTCAGCACGAGTTTGATCCTCGGCCAGGGAGGTGATCCACATGGCATAGCAGACCTCTCCTGTCTCGCCCACTGCTCCTCTCAACAGTGTACTTCATCAGTCGGCCTGTTCTGCTCCCCACTTTGTCTGGTGAATCCTCTTACCCACCCTACCTCTGTCCTGTACCCTAGTTCTGTATACATAAATACATCTATTTATTTTTAAGAGAATGTAGAGAGGCTCTAGGAGCTCAGCCGCCAGACTCAAGTGGCTTTCCCTACTACGAGATTATAACCTTAAAAAATAATAACAAAAAAGAATGTGATCACCAAACCCAAGACAAAAACTGATTGTCCCATTGTGTCTATCCCTTTCTTTCTTTTCGATTTTAAAGATTTAGTTTATTCACTTATTCATACAAGAGTTGGGGTACAGGCCAAAGGTAGGGGGTGAGAAGACTCACCAAAGACAAAGTGGGGAGCCAAACAGGCAGATCTACTGGAGCAGAGGGGAGGCAGGAGAGATCTGTTGTGTCATGTGTGTCAGCTCCCTGGCTGGGGATCGAACTCGTAAAGCAGTGGCTGTGGCCAGCTTCGTGCTGAGATAACCCCTTGTGCGACTGGGGAGGCCCTTGACAGTCATTTCTATTCCCACAGCCTGCTATCGCTTTCCTGCCAGCCTTGGGGGCTCAGGCTGCATGCAGCGGGCACTGTGGTTTCTCAACCTTTGTGCCCTCCCAGCAGACTGCCATTACTTCCTTGTGCCCCAATCTGGGCATCCTTCATTCCCCATGGGCACCCACTGGATTCAGCCCCACTCCTCCTATCCCAAATGACATATCGATGCATGTCTTAACCACTGGAACCTGTGGATGGGGCCTTGTTTTAAAAAGGGGTCTTTGTGGTTATGGCTCTTGAGAGATTGCCCTGGATGGTGCAGAGGGGTCCTGAATCTGATGATCAGTGGACAGAGGGGAAGGCAGTGTGTAGATGGGCAGAGTTTGGAGGGATCAGCCAGAAGCTAAGGAAGCTAGAAGCTGGAAAAGGCAAGGAAGGGCCTTCCCTAGGCCTGCAGAGACAGCATGGCCCTGTGGACACTTTGACTTCAGACTTCTGGCCTCCAGAAGGATCATTGAAAAAGTTATTGGTTTGGGGAGATTTGGTATAGTTGCTACAGAAGCTAATGCCCTCCCCATTCCTTGCTGTCAGTGATTTAGGCTGTGGATCATCAATCATACGGCCAGCTCATGGGGTGCACAAGGCTGGGGTGCACCCACCTGGCTTTAAATTTACCAGCTGCCTAGCTTTAAATGAGTTCTTTGACATGACTGTGCTTCAGTTTCCTCATTTATAAAATAGGTGTTAACAGAGGGATCTTAGGATGTTGTAAGGCAGCAGTTTTGAAATATTGATCTCCAAGACCCTTTCAGCGGGCACCCCTAAAAACCATCAGTGACCCTAGAGAGATTTTGCTAGGTGAGTCCTATCTATCGGTTTCACTGAAAGGTTAAACTGATGGCTTTTAAGTATAGTCATTTAAAAAGTGATGGACACGTTACAATTCAACAACAATTTGTTTTTAAAGATTTATTTATTTATTCATGCAGAACTGGGGTATAACCCAGAGATGCGGAGGGTGAGAGGATTCACCAGAGACAGAGTGCGGAGCAGAACAGGCAAGTCGACAAAGTACACTGCTGAGGGGAGCAGCGGGCTGGTCAGGAGAGGTCTGCCGCACCATGTGGTCACCTCCAGGGCAGGCAGGGATGGAACTCATGTGGAAGTGGCTTTATCTTCTTAGTGCTGTTCTTTAACCCGCTGCACCACCAGGAAGGGCCTCAACAACAATTTTTTAATGAAAATACCAATAACTATAACCCAAAACAAAAAAAACCTGAAAATGTTGTTTGATGTTTCTGCAGAGCTCTGTGATGTCTAGTTCATGATAAGTGGTAGGTCCTAGAATCTGCTTCTGCAGATTCAGTCCACTGCTATGCCAGTTGTGTTAAGTACAGGAGCCTCTACTGAGTCTAGCTGGCTAATGGGACACCCTTACAGAGACGTTTGGTTCTGGGCACTCTAGTGGTCCCCAGGCTACACTTCCATTACCAGTGGAGTGAAGTTTCATGAGCAAGTGGTGGGTGAGCCCTTAGAATAACGCCTGGGGTATGGTAAGCACAACTGTATATATTTTTCAAAAGTAAATAGAACGCAAATGCTCAATACTTTTTAAGCTTTTAAAATTAAAAAAATATTTATTTATTTATTTATGCATACAGAACTGGGGTACAAGCCAGAGGTGCAGGGGCCATGAGAAGCTTCACCAGAAATAGAGCGGGAAGCAGAACAGGCAGATTGAGGAAGTACACTGCTGAGGGGAACAGCAGGCCAGCCAAGAGAGGTCGGCTCGGCCATGTGGGCCACTCCAGGGCGGGGATCAAACTCATGAAGTGGCTTTAGCTTCTTCTTCTTTTTTAATAATAGCAAGGCATTCATTTTCAGCTGTTATATGCAGAATAGTGCCAATTACAAATCATATGTGATTTTTATAATATAATAGTTTATTTTTTACATCATTTTGTATTTTCTTTCATCTCAATTGTAATCCCCATGTGTTTCCCATCACCAAGTCACCCACATGCCATCACCATAGTCCAGTGCACTTTCCTAACTTTTAAAATTTTAATCCATACGTGCCAAATTGGGCGGGCTTTGTGGCTACAAGGGCGTTGAGGATTTTAGGGTCTTTCTGGTCTGATCGGAGCTTGCAGGCATCAGGCTATGGGGATGCAGAGACCCATGCGTGTGCAGGGGCTTGGGGTTCAGAAAAGGTTCTCTGGGTTAAGAGGGAGTCTGATAGACAAAGAATTAGCAGGCTCAAAAGGACAGAGGGTTTGGAACCAGAAAACTCGTGCGGCTGGTATCCAAACTCCCGGCCTCACCTCCACTGTGCAGTAAGTAGCATGTATGTCACAGGAGCGGCTAATGGACGTGGCTGGGAGGCTTCAGGGACAGAGGGCCCTCGATCCTTCGGTCCCGGTCCTGGACGCCTCTACTGGAGCACCGGCCAAGCGCCGCCAGGTTCGTTCTGGTGACAGCGTCGGCGGGGAGGGTCAGCGGGCTGGGAGGTCCTCACTACCTCCTCAGGATAGGCCCCCACCAAAGTCCCCCTCTTGACCCCTCCATTCCTCGCCCACGCCCCTATCCCCCGAGACGCGGTGAATAGTCAGTGTCCCTACCGCCGCCTCCGCCCCTCTCCTCCAGGCGAGCCTGGACCCCTCCGGGCGTGAGTGGAGAGGAGGA